CCCACCCTTCGTTTTAACTTTCTGACTCCGGCCGTTCCATATTTTGATTTTTTTTGGATCGTCCACCTCTTTTAAGACAGCAATTTGGCCTTTTTATCGCAGTTTTCCCGTTTTTTCCTTTTTTTTATATTCCTTTTTTCGTTATGTATGGGTGTTATTCGTGATACTAATGAATCGAATTGCAGGAAGATAATTTGCAGAAAGTGCGTAACCCGAGTCAGCTGCAGGATCTGAAAGTGTGGATTGTGGATGCTGTATTATTCAAAAATGGTGTACTTATGCTTTTCGCATGCAGCAGCAAAACTCTTTCCAGCCAAATTCATTTTGCTTTTGGTAATTTATACTTTGATGCGACTTGGTGGACCGAAACATTCCCATTCAGATTTTAATCTTATTTTATTCACATTTTCCTTTTTTATTTCCTTACATCTTTCATAAACATATACCAACTAAAATTAAAATTCGATAATTTATACTTTGACCTCGATGATTTTGGTGATTTTATTAGTTGACACTTACCTAGTCCATCTTCGGCCTCGGCTTTTTTTTTTATAGTTACGCTGATCGAACTTGCACAGTACTTGTGTGTGCTTATAGTTCTGGCTTTAGCTTCTTGTTTTTCCCCTTCGGCCTTCCTGAAAGGGGAAATGCTAAATATTTCACATTGTGACTCACCTTTATTTGATCATTTGTTCCGGCTTTTTACTCATTGGAACGAATAACTCCTTTTTCTTTCCGATATTATTTGTTGATATTTTTATACGTTTTTTTGCATCTGTACAATGTGAAAACACATATTGTCGAGGGGTTGTCTGCATGCATCTCACTTATAAAAGCAATAAAGCTGAAACTTAGGGACCTTAATCTACATGCATGTACGGACCTCTATCCCCAAAATAGACGCTGTTGTCCACGCGGCCCCCAAATACAGGCCCGTGAAAGTTTTTTGCGGATAAGTTGCTAACTTGGGAACCAGAAAAGCATGAAAGCTGGAATTTTAAGGGAATGTTTTCTAACATTCATAGTGGCCAGTCTTGATTCTTTTAGCTAGAAGCATCTGCCATAAAAAAAAAAAAAAACAGCGCTGTCAGTGACAAAAACCTACGGGGGAACTGTGCAAAAAACGCATCATCGCACCGGCATCTGGTGCACTGTCGACTAAATTTAACCTTACTCTGCTTCAGGTTTTGTAAAAATTACGGAGCAGCCGCCGGTGGCATTGGAATGGTTCTCCGTTTTGTCTTTTCTTTCGGACGAACAGAGGGTAACTTTCTAATATTACTTGTTTCTAATATCAATATCATAATATGAAACATTTTGAATCCGTGAAACAAAGAATCACATAGGATTTCAAAGATTTTTGAATCTGTAGATTTTTTCAAACAGATTGGCCTGAAGCCAAGGTTTCAAAAATAAAGAGCGTTGAGTTAGCAGTATGCAGCAGCTGTGGCTTTGTAAGTCT